CGGTTCGGTCAACAATAAGGTACAAAGCGGATTTCAAAAATGGGCTTGAAGTTCCATTATCGTTAGGTCGAAGATCTCTACTAGGTTTAGTGCACTTTGGTAGTTGCGAATGTTGCCGTCACAGCGAAGAAAGGCCGAATGGAAGGGGGCAGTCAGCTGGCTGCTTCTTGGCCACGCCCCCCTGCAACTAGATACGAGATACTTGATCTAAATTCGAAAATAGGAAATTGCATACCATTCGCCGATATACGTATAGGAACATGGGTACATGATATAGAATGTCATCCAGGTCAAAGCGCAAAGCTGAGATTGAACCAACCGCCTGCATAGTTGTCCATTTAATTTGCACACATGTACATCCACGTCACGCTTTCGTTTAATCTAACCAAAATTTTAACAGCAGGGACTAAAATATAACAAATTTAAAAGTACAGGAATTAAATTGTTACTTTTGAAAGTTCAGGGACTAAATCGTTAGTTTATTCAAAGTTCAGGGACCAAATGTATTTTTTAACCTAAAAATTTTAAGTCACTTTTTCTATTTTAAAATAGATGCAAATTTCTTCTTCTCCCCCTCCCTTTTTTGTTAAATTTTATTTCAAGGATGAAATTGGATGGTGTATTGCCTTGAAACCATGTCAACTTAAACTTATAATTTTTTTTAATGTTTTTCTATATTAATTAGGGACTTTAAAAGACAAGCTATAGGAATATGTTAGTATTATGAATATATATTTGTTTACACTAATGTATTCCTATAATTTATTCGTGGACTACCACTTATCTTAAAGTTTCAAGTTTGAGTCTTACGTTGATTGTTGCTCAATCCAGGCAACAAGACTTGATTATAAATATTGTGCCCATCATATAAAACTATGACAATTCACAAAGTTTTTTTTTAGTGCAACATGTGGGGTGGGGGATCAAACTCACCTTTAGGTTGGAGGTATATGTCAATTACCGCTGAGTTATACTCGCTTTTGCAATTCACAATTGTTATAGTTTATGTTATGAGATTTAGAATGTATTTGGGAGTGATTTTGACATGACCAAAATCACTTTTGTCATTGTCAAAATCACTTCTCTTTCTATTGATCATATTTGGAAAATTAGAAATTTGATTTTAGGAAAGCTTAAAATCACTTTAAATGAGTTTTAAGGTATCACTTTCATGGTGATTTTGGAAAATATAATTAATTCTATTTAAATCTCTTTTTTCAAAATCACTTATTCTACCATCACTCCCAAACACATCATTAGTTTCAGAGCTTGAACACCAAGTGTTCAGATCGGCTATCGTTAGGGGTGTCCAACAAGATCGACGAAGAGGGGGCCGAGCAAGTGTACAAGGAGTTAAAATCGAGAGTGCACGGGTTCCCATCTTTCGTGTCTGTGATGTTATGGAAGAGGGTGTTGCAGAACTTAAAAGCTGGTCTTAAGAACCTTGTGAATGGTGAAACATCTTATAGACTTAAAAGGTAGATGAGATTATTGTTGATTAGGTGCTTGGAACTTTAGAGGGGTTATTGTAGAAGAATAGACATATTTATTTAGGTAATTTGCTCAAAGTCCCATGGATTTTGTAAAAATTAATAAAAGATGCTTTTTAATGACAAGTCAGCACCAAGAAATGAAGGCAAACAATTAGAACAATTCTGCACTACATCAAATGAAGCCATTACAGAATGCTTTTGTGCTGACTTTTCTCAACTTGGGATGCTAATGCCAAGAGGGAGCTTAAATAATTATTTCTCCATTATATTCTTTCGAAAGTTTCAAATATTTTCTGTCTTTTTTATTATGACAAAATGGCTTATTTCAATGAGACTGTGCAGTACAAGAACTAAAATCCAACTCTAGTTTAAAACTAAATGCAATTCTCTGAAGGAGAAAAATCGAAACATACATGTGGAACCCATTTTAAGTTTTCAGTTCAACTCAAAGGGCAATTTTTGAAACAATTGAAGCATATAAAAAGCTATTATTGAACCAATAAATAAATAATGAAAAATACTAACCTT